GCTTCATTTCAAGGATCTTTTCATTTTTATAATTTCTTGATTTATGTTTAATAGAATGATACATTTTGTTCTGCTTTATAGTTTCCAGGGGTAATAGTAATTATAGTCTGTATTTTAATTGTTCCTAATTGGTATTAAGTTGTAGTCATTTTAACATATGCAAAATTAAAATGAAAATGTAATAATACTAAAAGCCTCACAGTTATTAGAAGTTCTTAACCAGGGTCCTATAGTGACAAATTAGAAGCCAAATGGTTAAGTTGTATTATTAAAACAAATAAAAACAACTTCTGGAACAAAAAAAAAGATAGCATAGTTAATTATCTCAAATTATTCTTTAAAAAAACACCTTAATAGGTATTCATCATTTCCCAATTGTTAATCTTCCATTTTTTTTGTTCAACATAAATCCATTGCATATTGTTCTTAAATACTTTATTTCAATTTAGTTATCGTTTGTACATTTGAATTTATCATAAAACATTGTCTATGTAGAAAAATACAGATTGTCAAGCAAGTTCAAGATGTCTCATTTTCTGTAGAAAGCATTTTCTCATTTGTGGTAATTTTGCTATAATCATTCCTATTTTTGAGAACATATGTAAACCTGATGGGCTAAGGAAACTGGTGTATGGCTTTGGGTTGAACCAGCCTGCGTTCTTCCAATTTTGTACCTATTTTCTCCATTTTTTTCTTTCAAATAAAGAATTTTCCAAGTGCTGCTGGATTCTACCACTGGCATAAGGCTAAGAGGTTCAGAAAGTACCATCCACGCACCACAGGGATATTTATTTAGCTTCTGAACTGTTTATTGGTTAAAAATTCATAAGAGAGAAAGACACAGGAAAGCCATGAGAAATCACTAAATGGGGTCTCTAACCCTACAGACAGTTAAGCGCTTGCTGATCTTTGTCAATTACTGAGTCACATAAAAATGACTCCTGTTACCTGCAAGTTAAATTTCTAACTAGAAACGCCCATGATGCAGCTCAGTGATAGCCAGTTCCCCCGTTACTCATTTTGCGGGGTCAGCGCCCTGGCAGGCC